AAAAAAATATAATTGCTAGGACTTTTTGATAGAAGTGGCAACGCCGCAATGCTGAAAATATTTTAGATCGATAGAACAGGTAAGGAAATGTGAGAGGTGAAATTTTCAGAAAAATCATGCTTTGCGTTTTCCAGACGTCTGACCTACCATCGACCGTGAGTCACGCTGTATAGCACCCCTGTAGGTAATAATAGAGGTACTTGGCTTGATTGAGTACCTGAATTTACAATTTACAATGCGAATGTGCTAATTCGAAAACTGGTTAGTAAACTGAATCGATTTGATCGTTCAACAGGTTACACCTGCAATGTTTATGCTTGTGAATTTCCAGGGATCCTTAATAATTGAGTTTATAACCCTTCCTTGCATAGTGCAAAATTTCCGTACCGTTTAGATTTGGGAACTTGTGATTGTATGCTAAGGAATGGTTTGAAAACGTCGAATCATTTTTACTTAGTCTGAAGGACCTTCCATGTTCAGCATACCGTGTTTGAAAACTTCGACCACATTGTCCGACATAAACACTATTACACTCTGGACACTTGAGCTTATAAACGTTAGATTTCTCATCTCTGGCATTGAGAAGGAAATGAGATAAGCTGCCATGTGGTCTAAATGCCACTCACACATTGTTTTTCCTGAAGAAACCCGCAATTATCTCTGTTCTCTTTCCAAAATATGTTAGCGTTACCCATTTCTTGATTTCTGGTTGTTTGAACTGAGGGTATATTAATCTGTAAGTGAATTTCCGGCTACAGAGCACATATTTCTTTATCGATCAGTATCACATGACATTAAATAAATGAAACTTTTGAAACAACCTAATATAATCTACACGAAAAAGTTATGATACATTTTTCATTGTCTGACATCGTAAATCGTTGAAAAACTGATATCCAATTGATAGCACTCAACTAGAGAAAATTAAATTCTCAATTCAAATTTGAACTTTTCTACTCGGGATTATTAAAAAGTTTTTTCGCCAACAAGAACAAAAATAACTCATTCATAACAGCTTAATAATATATTACTTAGGATCAGGATAAGAAGCCAACTACCCACAAGTGAAAAATTTGTTTTTTCTAATTCTTTGAAATAAACGAGAAGAACGTTTTCGGAAAACGAAGTTATGTTTTCCTTCTTTCTCAAACTCATAAAATTCTCAAAATTATATTCGTTTTTTCCTCTTGCTTTTGCTGTAGGAATTTTTACGAGATATCGAATGACGTCTCATAATCAAAACAAATGTGCCAACACGAACAAAAATAACCCATTCATAACAGCTTAATAATATATTACTTAGGATCAGGATAAGAAACCAACTACCCACTAGTGGAAAATTGTGAGCACGAAGCGTTAGCCGAGTACGATAATTCACGAGTGGACGATTGTTTCAAAGTTTTTGCTAATTCTTCGAAATAAACGAGAAGAACGTTTTCGGAAAACGAAGTTATATTTTTCTTCTTTCTCAAACTCATAAAATTCTCGAAATTATATTCGTATTTTCCTTTTACTTTTGCTTCAGGAATTTTTACGAGATATTGAATGACAGCTCATAAACAAAACAAATGGTTGTTGATTCACGGAATGACTAGATTCATTACCAACCCACAAACTATTGAACAATATTTTCACTGAGAATATGATAAAAAAACTAATCAATAGAGTTTATTCTATGATTTTCACTATAAGGATTTTACAAAAACCGCGACAGGTGTTTCGCTATACAACAGCTTCTTCAAGCATAACTGAGAGTTACTTCTAAATTACACCCTATATACTATAACCTAGTACCTATTCGTCTACCTAAGTAATGAATCTACCTGAAAAAGTCAGGTATCAATACATATTTCGAAATTCTACATGTGAATATATCTAACTATTATTACCTGCGTGTGCACAAATTCAATAAAATATGTTTATTCCCATACTCTCCAACAGATTAAGTTTCAAACCTTTCTTCTGGAAATGGAGGGGTTTGTATTCATGATCGAACTCATGTCCCTCTGAGATTAGATGACTGGCAATGATTATGATAGTGGTCTGATACATTCTTTATCATCAAAGAAGTTATACAGTCAAGCTTTGAAAGAAGTTTACTCAATTCGAAGAAAAGAGGATGAAAGTTATAGAACCTTAACCTACTCAGGCCAACCCACTACAAATATTTCAGATTTTCTACACAGCAATGGTGTAAATACTGCTTTCAAAACCAACGACAACTTTGGCGGGCACATTAAAAATAACAAAGATGAAAGTTCACTTTCAGAAAAATCAGGAGTGTATAAATCATCGTGTGGGTCATGTCTGATGTTTTACATAGGTCAAACTGGAAGAACGTTCAAAACCCGCATAAAGGACAACAAATATAGTTTTCAGAACGGAAAAATGAATTTCACATATGCCAGTCATCTAATCTCAGAGGGACATGAGTTCGGTTTTTGTAAAACCCTTATAGTGAAAATCCATCAATTTAGAATACACGTGTATTCTGAATGAGCTATTACCAACCTGCTGTCAAACACGTAATGATTAGTTTGAAACGGAGTGAGTAGAAAAACTCACGTTTCATTCATTGTCACTATTTGTAAATTAGTAATAGGTATTTTTGATCTACCTACGTATTCTACCAATTTCTTCATTTTGGGAGAAACACTTCACGTTTACTTCCATCAGTGTATTTCCTAGTTTTAGTGTTTTCAGAATTTGATAAAGAATGATTTCAAAATATGTCTTTGTTGCAGTCTGCATCAGGTACCGGCTTGGCCTTCATCATATTCACAGAAGCAATAAACCAATTTCCAGGCGCGCAATTCTGGTCAGTTCTATTCTTTCTCATGCTCTTTACCCTCGGAATTGACTCCCAATTCGGAACTCTGGAAGGCGTCGTAACCTCGGTGGTGGATCTGAAGCTGTTTCCGAATCTTCCGAAGGAAATTCTAACGGGAACTATTTGCGCAGTATGTTGCCTCATCTCCATGGGATTCGCGCATGGAGCGGGCAGCTACGTTTTCGTCCTCTTCGATAATACAGGTTAAGTTTCAAACCTTTCTTCTGGAAATGGAGGGGTTTGCATTCATGATCGAACTCATGTCCCTCTGAGATTAGATGACTGGCATATGTGAAACTTATTCTTCCGTTCAGAAAACTATATTTGTGTTCCTTTATGCGGATTTTGAACGTTCTTCCAGTTTGACCTATATAAAACATCGCACATGACCCACACGATAATTTATACACTCCTGGACGAATCTATACATTTTCTGGATTTGACAATAGCAAAAGTTAACAACAAACATGATTTTTCAATTTATCGTAAACCGGCACATACAGATATTATCATTCATAATTCGTCCACTCACCCATATCAGCATAAGGTAGCAGCTTTCAACAGTATGATCCACAGACTGATAAATGTACCCTTGTCAGAAGCGAATTTCAATAAAGAACTGAATATAATAAAGTAAATAGCTGTCAACAGTGATTATGATAGTGGTCTGATACATTCTTTATCATCAAAGAAGTTATACAGTCAAGCTTTGAAAGAAGTTTACCCAATTCGAAGAAAAGAGGATAAAAGTTATAGAACCTTAACCTACTTAGGCCAACCCACTACAAATATTTCAGATTTTCTGCACAGCAATGGTGTAAATACTGCTTTCAAAACCAACGACAACTTGGGCGTGCACATCAAAAATAACAAAGATGAAAGTTCAGTTTCAGAAAAATCAGGAGTGTATAAATTATTGTGTGGGTCATGTCCGATGCCCGCATAAAGGAACACAAATATAGTTTTCAGAACGGAAAAATGAATTCCACATATGCCAGTCATCTAATCTCAGAGGGACATGAGTTCGATCATGAATACAAACCCCTCCATGTAGAATTTAGAAATATGTATTGATACCTGACTTTTTCAGGTAGATTTATTACTTAGGTAGACGAATAGGTACTAGGTTATAGTATATAAGGTGTAATTTAGAAGTAACTCTTAGTTATGCTAACACGTGTCGCGGTTTTTGTAAAACCCTTATAGTGAAAATCCATAAATTTAGAATACACGTGTATTCTGAATGAGCTATTACCAACCTGCTGTCAAACACGTAATGATTAGTTTGAAACGAAGTGAGTAGAAAAACTCACGTTTCATTCATTGTCACTATTTGTAAATTAGTAATAGGTATTTTTGATCTACCTACGTATTCTACCAATTTCTTCATTTTGGGAGAAACACTTCACGTTTACTTCCATCAGTGTATTTCCTAGTTTTAGTGTNTATAGACTCTCAATATTTACTTTGACATTTATAACCTTTGTTGTTTTCTCAGTTTTACAAAGATTCATGAACTACTCATTTACCAATGTATACTAGGTAATTATTTTTATATTTCTATATAAAACATGCTATCACCTAGGTTGAGTTGTGAAACTGCTTCGGCTGAACTTCGCCTTTTCATTGATTTTTTACACGCTTTATATTAGCTTCACCATTATGTATTTATGTATGTATGTATGTTTGTTAGTAACTCTCAAGTTCGGGATCTGTATTGATAGAATTATCGGCATTATTGCTTGATCTATTCGCGGGCAGATGGCGCTGTACCTAACTTCATTGATATTTCTTGATCTATTCGCGGGCAGATGGCGCTGTACGTAATTATCAAATATTGCTTGATCTCTTTGTGGGCAGATGACGCTGTACGTAACTATCAATTATTGCTTGGGCCATTCGCGGGCAAATGCCGCTATACTTAACCTCCTTGATAGGTTGTTCAAAAGAAAATCAAAATAAAAAACATATTTTCAGAATTATAAGTGTTAGTGAAATTCTGTACCACAGATGGAATATTTAAATATTTACAATTACCCGTGATTCAGTACAGACAAAAGTTTTGAACGAAANAAATATCTGTCTCCTCCAATGATAACGGGAGTCATTCCATTTTTGGTTTTGTCGATAGCTGTTTCTATGTTGAGTACGACTACATCAACATCATCTCTCGCTTGTTTTGTTATAATATTTACACTTTCTAACTTTCTTAATGACTATATCAATAGTTTCTTCGAAGAATCCATTTAACAAAAAATATTATAAATGTCTATTTGCATTTAGATTTGCTGATGACATCGAAATGATGACTGGTAGCAGACCAGGTCTCTACTGGTTGATTTGCTGGAAATATCTTTCTCCCTTGGCAATGATTTCCATCTTGGTGGCGAGCATTATCGAAATAGCTGTCGATGGATCAGGATATTCTGTTTGGGTATCTGCGAAAGGTGAAACTGAAAGGCATTCCTGGCCTGTATGGTCCATACTTTTGATATCAGTTTTGGTGTTGGCCTCCGTCTTATGGATACCTGGAGCTGCTATTGCCAGGTAAGAAAAATATCAACTATGTGATAGATAAACTACTTTGGTGTTCATACAATTTTGTTTAGTTTACCTTTCTTCATGTTTTATCCTGAATTTACTGGGTGTTACGAAAATTTAGGTAATACACTGAATCACCTATTCTGAGGTCGAAATAATTCGATTAGAAATAACTCACCTCAATGCAAATGTGAACACAAAAATACGGTACAGCCATAGTAATGTACGAAATGAAAACCGTTTTTTTGAATATTCAAGGTGAATCCATGGCTTTCTTATCATATTTCAATATAAAACCACCCAAAAATATCTCAGGGGGTATCGAACCCCAAAGTTTTCTATGCGTTAGCGCTTTTTTAGAAAAGCCAGTTTTTATAGAGATACAGGCTCTTTTTCATTATCCTTTAAACATCATTCAGTTGGCTGTTGATCGGTAATTATAGTAAAGTTTAGATAAGCATTTTTTGTTGCAACATGTAATCTCAAATCCCTGTGTAATTTGAGTAGAAATTTCATCAAATAGCTCAAAATTACACAAAATGATGAAAAAAACCTCAGGTTTTTTTGCATCTTCTGAAAAAAATTGCAACAATAATGTAGGTTTTTTCATATCACAGAAAGTAGAGATTTCGACGAATGAGGAGGATACCCATTTTATTATTTGTAAAATAGCTATTTATGATATGAGTGTTGAATGTAACGTTTTATTTTGTGAGCGGAAAAGTTTGCGAAACTAGCATAGCCAGATGAGCAATTTCACAAACAAAATGAAACTTACTTTTAACACAAATATCATACGAAGTTTTTTGAACAACTGTCCTGTTTTCATAATAAAATAGATGTATTCAATACTTTTATAAAAACACATTTTGACATCTCTTGTCAGAAGAAAATGTTTTTATTCGATATGTTGGAGGTATACCTCGAGTGACAAAAAACTTAAAACAACAATTAAATCATCAGCCAATAGTTGGAGGACTTAGAAGAAAACTAAATGAACTACAGCATTCGATACTAGGGTCTGATTATAATATTGTGATTCTTGTAGAATCCTGGCTAAATAAAAATTTTTGTAATTTTGAAACCTTTAACTATCCCGTCTGGTATAATTTTGAACTGAGAAAACAATTAATAGAAAAGGGAAAATCTCATTAAAGATACAAAAGTACAGGGTGCATTGAGCACTACCATCAATTTGCTGACCTCCGAATTAGATGTAAAGAACTTCAGAAGCATTGCTATGAATCTTACATTAAAAAATCGAAAATGCTATTCCAAATGATTCTTGAAGCTTTTGGAAATATATAAACAATAAAAGAAAATCATATAACTTACCATCAACCATGTATTTGGAGGATATCACTTGCAATAGCAACAATGGTATTGTTAATCTTTTCGCAAATTATTTTTCTACTACCTATTCTGACGAAAAGGTTTTTCAAATTCCGAAATGCAAATGCACAGAGAGTTTACATGTTTCCAACTACTATATTGAAACAGCAGAAATAATCAATCAACTCATGATAACCCCAGGAAAACTCTCAGCTGGTTCCGATGGAATTCCTTTGCAGTTTTTAAAAAACTGCATATTTACTCTAGCAAAACCCTTACAAACATTATTTAATCTTTCTTTATCTATGGGAATCTTCCCTGAATTCTGCAAGCAAAGTTTTCTAACTCCAATCCACAAATCTGGTGATAAAGAGAATATTAAAAACTACCGTCCAGTGAGCAAGCAATCGAAAATTCCCAAGTTGCTGGATCGTCTGATAACTAAAAAACTGACATTCGATACAAAAACATAATAAATGAACACCAACATGGCTTCATATCTGGTAGATCCACCACTATGAATTTATTGCTTTATCAACATTTTCTTTTGAATAACCTAGAGGAAAAACACCAAATTGACTCTATTCATACTGATTTCTCTAAAACCTTTGACAGAGTAAATCATGATCTTCTCATGGCTAAGCTCCTAGCATTAGGCATCAATGGTAACATGCCAAAATGGATGAAGAGTTGTTTGGATAATAGAATTCAGTATGTTAAATATGATGGTTCCATATCATCACCAATTTCTGTAACGTCTGGTGTCCCTCAAGGATCGTATATAGGTCCAATACTCTTCATTCTTTCTGTAAACGATGTGTCGGATATCATACGCCACATCTATTATTCAATGTTTGCAGATGATCTCAAACTTTACAGGGTTGTAGATAACTTTTATGATGCAGAACTGTTACATATAGACTCAAATAACTTATCTCGATGGTGTGATGAAAATATGCTTCAGTTAAATATGAATAAATATTAGCAAATAACATTTTCAAGAGCTGTGAAATAATGAATAACGATGACGGACCTATACCAAAGAGAATACTATATAGCTTGTTAAAATAAAATAAAATAATTTTGTTGGGTTTACTGATTACTACATTGCAAAAATGAATTTGAATAGGCAATATCGTCGAATTAATTTTTATATAGCTGAAAATTGTTTTGTATAAACATATATTGTAAAATAATAGATAAGGCAAAATTCTAAAATTGATTTAGGTTGGTATACCTGTATGGTTGGTACGCCTGGATGGTTTACCTGAATGGACTACCTTCATGGCATAAATAGGGTTAGCTCGCATTAATTTCTAGTTTTAATCTTCCTCTTTGAAGATGATCACTTGGTGATCGGAACACGTGTCGAGGTGTTAAAAATAACGATTTGGTGTTGGGAANTTTGAAGATGTAGACAATAAAAATAACATTTTATGTGTTCACGTTTTCCTGAAATATTTATTTTCTAAGAGCAATATGATAGAGATAGTGAATTGGTGTTATTGGCCTCGTATCAGTTTTTAATGCTTTCTAATCTCTATGCGACTTATTCTTGATCCGAAGGTTTTTATGAAAATTCGAAACAGTAGGCGAATGAATATGGTCATAGTTCACTATTCATTGTTCAATGCCTCATAGTTCAACGAAAACATGAAGTTGATGTTATATAAACGTAACGAATAAAGTACTGGTGTACCGATATATTTTAACGTTACATTAAGAGTACAACAAGTTCAATCGATTGAAATATGTACAAATATTCAGATCAGTTTCACAAAAAGAAGATGATAATATAAACCGAAAAAATTTTGTTTGCGAATCCAAATTTCGGGATTTTCATGAATAAGATCACCGATTTATGTTCATTTCAATCGGTTGAACAAGTTGAACAGATCTGTAAACGCTGTCTAGCCTTCAACTAATTCATCGTTTTCGTGCATTTTGAGAAAACAATCCACAGTTACCAGGTGTCAATGATAGTCTTCAGAATTATGGCATTTTTAAAATTCACTAGAACAGCGAAGTTAATGTTTTGCTGGGCCCGCACCTCACAAAAACATCAATAATCACCAACAGAAAAGAAAAATATTTAATGCAAATCACATTCGTTGATTCATAGTGGAATCAAAGAATCTAACTGAATATGTTGACAAAAAAACGAAAGAAAGATAATTTGTATTTGAAGAAATTCAATTAAAAATAATTCTTTATTGTGGAATTGAACAACCGATTCTGTTGTTATTCAAATCTATAAATAAATCCACAAGGCGAGTAGTCGTAGGCCTATTTCAAATCGATAAACAACAAGTTCTTGATTTTAAATTGAAAGGGGTACATTTTTGAAAAAAGAAATTTTTGGGAAATAATGTTTTGGATTTTTACTTCTCCATCTTCATACATAAATGTGAGGAACTCACGAAGAAAGGAAGAAAGCAATTACTTTCGAAATGGACTCACACAAAGATTGAATCATGCAAAGAAGTAACTTTCAGACACAAACTGGAAAAAAAGCCGTCTCCCTTTTTATATTCCTGTATGGAGATAAAGAGATTCAAAAACTTTCTTTCCTAAATTTTATTGATGTCTTTTGTTTTTCAACATTTTCAACATGAAGATTTGATTGGTTGTTATTTTTTCCTGACTGAACCCACTTTGATAATTCCCTCTTTTCTCTGTTTCATATAGTTCAATCACATTCTCATTAATTTCGCTTTGATTTTGTACACTACCGCTGATATTGTGATTCCTCTTGAATTGTCAAAAATTGCTTGATCACCTTTTCATGTATGTGGTCATTATCCTGGTATTTTTTCATTTTGCCGTTGAGATAGGTCAAACTATTCTTTCCGGCCTTCAGTAATTCTGCTGATAATCCACTTTTTCCAGCGCTTTTATTTTTCAATGATATTATAGCTTTTTCTATAGAAGGAATTCAATTCTTTAATTAATTTCATGAAGATACAAACGAACCACTGATAACTTCGAAATATATATTCTGGAAAAGTGATAGAAGTTTTAAGGCATTAGTTTTGAGCTCCACACCTCACTTCTAAAAAATCAGCTACTACTATTTTACTATTCACTTGGTATTCAGTTAGTATGTCCATTTGTTTCGTTGGACTTTACTATTTTATATTGTATTTTTCTAAAAGCAACAGATGATAATTATTACTACTGATTACTGAAGTAACTGGTTATTTGAATATTTTATCGTTTGAATGTAGTTGTACAATGTTTCTCATTCGATATTTGTAGGTATCTATCTGGTCATGACAAATAATATGTAATCATATTCATTTATTCACAAAACATCGTGAATTCGTACAAAATTGTTTGTTTATCATCTGTATCTGTAGAGTAGGGAGGGCGAGTGTAAGCCCACAGCACTTTCTATTACTCCAAAAACTTTCTTTCCCAAAAATTAATCACTCCTAAAAATATAACACCGTCAATTCAAATAAGATTCCTCTTGGCTGGGATTAAATCAAATAGGTGAATGAATGACATTACGATGTCATCGATGACAAGCAGATCAAGCTTATTCCGTGACATTAAAAAT